CACACTGGGAAGCTGAGGTGGAAGACAGCTTGAGCCCAGGAGTACAGACCAGCCTTAGCGACACAGTGAAACCCTATGTCAAAAAAATAAACAAAAAAATTAGCTGGTCACGGTGGCACACGCCTGTGGTCCCAGCTACTTGGCAGCCTTAGTTGGGAGGATTGTGCAGCCCCAGGAGGTTGAGGCTGCGGAGAGCCATGATCATGTCACTGTACCCTAGCCTGAGTACAGGCTAGACAGAGTGTTACCCTGTCTCCATTAAAAAGAAAACAAGGGCTGGGTGCGATGGCTCACGCCTGTAATCCCACCACTTTGGGAGTCCGATGCAGGCGGACCACGAGGTCAGGAGATCGATACCATCCTGGCTGACACGGTGAAACCCCGTCTCTACTAAAAATACAAAAAATTAGCTGGGCATGGTGGTAGTGGGCACCTGTAGTCCCAGCTACTCAGGAGGCTGAGGCATGAGAATGGCGTGAACCCAGGAGGTGGAGCTTGCAGTGAGCTGAGATCACACCATTGTACTCCACCCTGGGTGACAGAGTGAGACTCTGTCTCAAAAAAAAAAAACACATGGGACATATACACCCTTTGTGGGTGACCTCCCTTTCCTCCCTTTCGCTGCTCTTCTCTCCCCTTTTTTTTTTTTTTTTTGGAGACCAAATCTCGCTCTGTTCCCCAAGCTGGAGTGCAGTGCCACAATCTCAGCTCACTGCAACCTCTGCCTCCTGGGTTCAAGTGATTCTCATGCCTCAGCCTCCCAAGTAGCTTGGATTATAGGCACACGCCACCATGTCTAGCTAAGTTTTATATTTTTAGTAGAGATGGGGTTTTACCATGTTGGCCAGGCTGGTCTCGAACTCCTGACCTCAGGTGATCCGTCCATCTCAGCCTCCCAAAGTGCTGGGATTACAGGCACGAGCCACCATCCCTGGCCCTCCTCTCCTTTTCATCTGATGTCCTCTGACCTCCTCTTTATTGGCCTCCAGGCACCCAGCATCCTTCTGTCTCTCCCAGGTTACTGAAGAGCAATAGCCACTTGAATGAGGAGTGCGGGGAGCTCCTCTTGCAAAGAGGAACCACAAAGGTGGCCACAGGTAAGGCACTCCGCTGTCCAAGGCCGTTGTATATTTGTCACTGTTCTTACCGAGGATGTCAAAGACTTGCCCTAGACTAGGCGGGATACTAAGCACTAGGCAGGATACTAAGATACTAGGCAGGATACTGGCAGGATCTCTCGGCTCACTGCAGCCTCTGCCTCCCTGGCTCAACCCTCCCACTTCAGTCTTCCCAGTAGCTGAAACTACAGGCGTGTGCCACTATGCTCCGCTAATCTTTTAGTTTTTTGTGTAGAGATGGGGTCTTGCTTCATTACCCAGGCTGGTCTCAAGTGATCCTCCCACTTCGGCCTCCCAAAGTGCTGGAATTACAGGTGCCTGACCTCCTGCTATTCTTGCCTGTGTAATTTTTCCATGTGAACTTGAAAATCAGGTGGTTTAGGCCCCCCCATACAAATCTTGTTGGTGTATCATATATGTATAGTTTAGTGTTTTTGGTTTGTTTAATTTTTTGAGACAGAGTCTTGCTCTGTCACCCAGGCTGGAGTGCAGTGGCACCATCTCAGCTCACCACAACCTCTGCCTCCCTGGTTCAGGCCATTCTCATGCCTCAGCCTCCCGAGTAGCTGGGACTACAGGTGCCCGCCATGACACCTGGCTAATTTTTTTGTACTTTTAGTACGGATGGCGTTTCACCATGTTGGCCAGGCTGGTCTCAAACTCCTGGCTTCAAGTGATCCATCCGCCTCGGCCTCCCGGAATGCTGGGATTACAGGCACAAAACACGGTGCCCAGCCCATATATGTATGTTTAAATAATAAAATAATAATGTTAATAACAGTAATAACCTGTGCACCCATCACACCGCTAAAACAATGGCACAGCACCCGTTCCTTTGAACCCTCTCCAGCTCCTCCTGGACCTCACCCAGAGGTAAACACCTGTCTATTCATTCAGCAAGCACTTTGGGAGCCCCTCCTATGTGGCAGGCACAGTTCTTGGTCCTGAGGATACAGCTGTGAACAAGGCAGACCAAACTGTTTGTCCTCATGGAAGCTGAAGTCTAGCAGAGGAGAGAAGCAGTCAACAGGCAAAGGATGAAGTGCCTTAGAAAGTGCTATGCGGGCT